ACTCCCTCCTCCCTACCTCCCTGCCGGATACCCGATGAATGTTATCACCATACGTGCACATAAGTGTTGATCCATCATTAATTCTGAACTGTTTGGCTTTGAGTTACAAATATATGTTAAAATCTAGTACAGACTTTCCTCGTTATTCAAGCCTTTGTAGTTCTTCTGTGAGATAATATGCATTTGTATATCAAAAGACAAGAAAAAGATTCGTGACTTAGACAAAATGATGGGGAGAGGTCTTAAGACAGAGAATAAGGCAGAGCTGCTGTCTCCCTGCTGGGCTGGGTGGCTGACCAAGGAGAGCAGATGTGGGCAACTGCAACCTGCTTCCCAGCGAGCTCTTGGGAGGAGGCAAAGCCCAAGAAAGACTCTTTTGGCTAAAAGCCCAAGCAGAGGGAAACAGGAAACGGCCTCAGTGATTCCAGGGCCCTTGCACAGCCTAGAAGTGGCAGGAAGGTACTCAGGGCACTCGGGGTGCAAGAGAGAGCTACGAGACTTAGAGGCCGAGGGACAGAAGCCAGGGCCCTCTCATGGCCACAGGCAGGCAGCAGCCCTCAGTCAGAGAGGCTGTGGGCATCTCTGCGGATACCTGCAGAGCCAGGTGACCTGAGAAATCCAGAAACCCTTCCTCGCTTTCCCTTCTCTTGCTTAGACACAATTCCCAGGAAAAGGTTGACAAAACATAAAATCGACTGAGATCAAGGTTCTGCTGTCCTCGTGGAGTACTGATTTAAAATAAGAAAGTAGGCTAGTTGTTGGGAAATAGACACAGTTGCATTCCCTGCACACCTGATACTATAGGTACGAGGAAGCTGACATGAATATATCAGATGCATTGATTTAAAGTTTTAATAGAGTTATTGGTATTTTGCCATAGAGTTATTGGTATTTAGAAACCTTGTTTTCTTCTCTTCCATGGAAATTGCTTTCATGATAGGTTAACTAATTTTTTAAACTACATGTTGTTTTTTGTAGTAGATTGCTGGTGGAGACTATCAAGGCTGGGAACTGTTCAGGGAATTTGAGTGACTACTAAAGTTTGGGAGGTCACCCTGAAAGTCGTATTATAGCACAAAGAGGTGACAGGTATGATTTAAAGCTGAAAAGAAAACAAATGTATGGAGGTAGTTACTGCCAGGGAGGATGGGGTGTGTCAGGAACACTCATTGTTAGGGGCTGAATTTTGTCCCTTCAAAAAAGATTGTTAGTTCTATCCCCAGCACCTGTGAATGTGATCTTGCTCGGAGATAGGATCTCTGGAGATTTAATCAAGTTTGATTCAATAGGACCAGTGTCCTTAGAAAAGGAGGAAGGGAGACACAGAGAAATGGAGGAGAGAGATGGACACATGGGGGGGGGGTCTGGATGACGATGGAGGCAGAGATTGGGGCGAAGTGTCTATAAGCCCAGGAATGCTGAGGACTGCCAGCGCTCACAGGGCCAGGGGAGAAGCACAGGACAGATTCTCCCTCAGGGGCCCAGAAGGAACCGACCCTACAACACCTTGATTTCTGGTTTCCAGAAAGGTGAGAGAATAAATTTCTGTTTTTAACCACCTAGTTGGTGGCCTTTGTTTTGGCAGCCCTAAGAACCTACTATTCAGGCCACAGTTCTGTCTCTAAGCCTGAGTGCTGGTTCCATGGGAGTTTGGGAAAATCCTGCAAGGTGCGTACTTACAAATCGTGGGCTTTTCTCTCGTATACTGTCCTTCGGAAAAGGGCACAGTATAAATCACAAAGCGAGTGCTTGGAGGAAGTGAGGGGAAAACCCTTTCTTGTGGTTATTTGACAGAATGAATTTCACTCATCTGTGGCCTCTTCCTTCACGTGCTATGGAAGGTACTTTGGAAGAAACCACGCGAAAGCATGGTACGAGAAAAAGGTCAAAACACAAGGCACGCAGAGAGAGCGCCTGTAACTGAGAGGGCTCCTGACGCACAGAGAAAGGCGATCTCCTTTTAGGTGGCAAATAAAGGGAAATGATAGTTTGTAAATGTAAGGACATTTGATTTCTCTCTTCAAGTGCTTATCTGTTCACATGATCATCACTTTTAAGTCGGCTGTAATTAGAGCTGGCTCCTTGCCAGCCCTGTGTTAATGGGGTTTTGTTTGCTAATAGGTGCCCCCTCTGCTCCTCGAGGAGCTTCCACAGATAAGAGAAAAGGGCAGTGGAAGGAAACCCAAAGAAGTCAGAGCTGCAGGGAGTCTCCCCTGGCCCTGGAAACACTTGGTAACTTTTCTTACAACTGTCACTGGTATTAACTTCTAACCCATTAAACTCGCTTACAGGCTGGCTGTAGTCAATGAAGCAGGATATGGCCTTTCCTTGGCCTCTCCATTTCCAATTCCAGCAAAATGAATGAAACACAAAAAGTTCACAGGGGGATCGGCTGGGGGGGCAGTGCTGAGAACTGGTGTCGGAAAGAGCTTTTAACTCGTCTTAACGTTACTGTCCTTTCCCATTGCAACTTTTATCTGCCTGTTAACTCCTTCAGTTTGCTCATCCATCCATCAAAAAGGAAAAACAAAAAACCCCCAGAAAAACCCGAATGATGTGTGAACAGATCTTCTAGATGTTGCTAGGTCTACGCATGTCACCTCCTAAATTTGCCTAAATGTGATTGGTTTTTCATCAGGACAGGTTGGCTTCATTTTATGAATGGTCATTTGTGATTTTTAGAAACACTTACCTTTGAAATTCCTTTAGAAGTATTTTAAATCATTTCTGTTTCTGACAAAATGAAGAGGTAACTATGCCAAGATGTTGCAGGGCCAACTTGTATAAATGATGAAGAGTGATGAAGATTAGTGATTAGTTTTCAGTAATTATATAAACAGCACTCACAATCTCACATGCCTTTTTGGGATTGGAGGTAATAAGTCATGTTCATTATTTTGTTTATGGCCTAAGAATAAAATATTTAATAAAGTATTCAGGTTATAAAATAAAAACAAACTTATGGTTCATAGGCATATATATCTATTTACTAATTTTATATATGATAGGACCTTACTCAGATTTTTGCTAACAAAATTCTGTAAGAGTCCAAAACAAAAGCTAATTTTTGAGCTAAAGCTAATTAGATAGGTTTTCTTAGATTTGATTAATAGGATCCAAGTGAAGAAAAGTGTTAGGAATTCAAATAGAACTAGCACTCAATCTGGATCAAAGATATTCATTCATCCATTCGTTCATTCATATAACATGAAGATATCAATATAACAGATGCAAAAGATTAAGTCCCTGCATTAATCCCCAACATCTTAGGAGAGATATAAACGTAAGCTTAAAGCAACTTCAATACACTTCAAGGCAGCACATGAAAATGTTGTAATCTGTACGTTCTAATTGCTGAGATGATGAAGGTATAAATAAAATCTCCAAAAACCCTGGACAGATGTACTTACTCAATGATTATTCTATAGAGATGTTCCCCATGTTTTATCTCCTTAGCCCTTCTCAGGTGGGCAAAGTGTCATCATTCATGAAAAAATAAGACTGACCTTCTGGATAATGTCTTTATAGTTATTATCTGCTGGTATGACTACCATGTCCTAATCATTGTTTGGAAAATGAAAACTGTTTCCAGTACGGAAATTAAGGGAAGCACTGATTGGTCACACACCTTTAATGCAGTGTCATGTTTTAGGACAAAGCAAATTTTTTTACACAGAATCATCTATTGACAACATTCGTAAACGGACAGGTCAGGGCAAGGGCCACATACAACATGACTTGCAGGATGTAGACAAGAATCAGAATCTAAATTCAACTTTAGACACAACCACTGTTTAATTCAGCTCTGTTATTATCATTTTGAATATGTGCCAAGCGCCGTGCTAAATTTTGGGATTATAAGAATGAGTATCCTCTGCATCGATTTACATTCCCACAGTGGCTTATAATTGCTGCATATATATAGGTCAGTTACTTAACTATGATCTTCCTTAGAGCAGGAAAAGTGACACTGTTTGAAAGAAATCATGACTATCAGAATGAGGCCTGATTGGAGTACTGTCAGAGAGTGTGACAAAAGCAAACAAAAAAACTAACCAAAAAAAGGAAAGAACGAGGCCTGGCTTTGGAACAGTTCAGTCTAGTAAGGGAGTCAGGTGTGCACACATCTATAATAGAAGCCAAACTAAGTGTATGAGAACACACAGATTCCATGTGCCACATGCGCCCAGAGATAGAGTGACTGACTGACCCCAGGAGAGGGCTGGACGTGGGACGGGGTGGGGATTCAGTGTAAGTGGGGCGGAGGGGACCTTTCATGGAGAAAATTATGGTAAACGGATGCCTCCTCCTTAAGTGATTACTTCTGAAACCCTTGAAACTGTGTATTTTCTTCCCCCTCGGTGCAGCCCCCCATGTGTTCAAAGCCACCCTTTCAAGTAAGCAAAGTGACTTTGCATTCACGATGGGACAATGTACAGGAAACTCTTTGAACACTGTATTCCTGAGTTCACAGAAGGCATAATTCCTCTGCTCGCTCCAAGCCATCTCGTGTTGGTTTATCCTAGCGGGGTTCTTTCTTAGGAACGCGGCCTGCCGTCACTCTGTGCAAGTCACGCTGCTGGGTTAGAAACTTAGAGCTTGGTCTGCAAGGAGCTCCAGGCGAAGGGGAGCCCGAGGGAGGGAGGCAAGGCCAGGAGGTAGGGCTGGGTGGGTGCCCACCATGCCCTGGAAGGTGAGAGAAAGCAACCCTCCCTGCTTTAACACTTCGTGTGCAGCAACCGCATTGAAGCATGAAGATTCTGATAGAAAACTTCTTCAACTCCTATGACTTCAAGTTCAGCACTCTATGCACACATTTTTTTATATATATATAAACCATTCAAAAACTTCTTCTCCCCTATTCTGCTAATTCCTCGGAAATTGACATTACCAAAGAAGTCATCTCAGGATTGCTGATAACACTATGTACACTAACAACAGGCAAGATCCTTTTCTGAAAGCCTATCTTTCCTCCGTGTTTTTCCTTCCCTGGGTTGCAGCTCTGGGAGATTTTGCCTGAGGAAGATGTGCAGGGCTAGAAGACAGACGCTGTTTCTCCTCAAAGCTCTAACATTCATTCGCAGAGGAGTAACTGTGTGTAGCAGAAGATTGACGGTGATCACATCGTCTGGAGAAAAGAACTCGTTTCCAGATTTAGAAAGCGACAAAGGTCTTCAGTCCCTCAACTAGTAGGAACTTCAGAAACCGAGCCCTGATCAAGCCCAGCTCTGTTGCTCTGAGCCACTGGACCTGCAAGGACCTTGTGGGGACCAAGGTGGTTGCTCCTGGGAGGATCCACAGGCCCTGGGGACAAGGGACAACACATTAATATATGAGATGCATTTCCCAAAATGCTGCTGCCCTGGTACTGGGGTCAGAGCCAGAGAACTCGATTTACAGAAAGTAACATTTCCTATTCACTTCATTCTGTTGGCTAAAAGTCACTCCTTCTATAATAATTATGTTATATTTACTGTTTTACATAGAGCACCATGAGTTCAATTGATTAATTTCCAATTTATCATAATAAACTTGCTTATAAACTGATTTTAATTAAAGTCCTATTATTGTGGGAAGTGGGCAAAAATGCACACAGCTAAAAATAAATGTCTTCCTTCTTTTATTATTTTGTGTGTTTTTTATTTAATAATGTTAATTTATATTTCTTAACGGCACAACAAGGGAAAGAAACCAAGACTTTTTAGTGCAGAATGCTATAGTTTTAAAATTTATGAGTTTCTTATGAAAATTCTTTTGCAATCTATTATATTTTGAGCTTCTATGGCAAGCACATGGTACATAGGAAGATCTCTTTAAATATTTTTTGTGGAATGGCTGACTTAATTAATGAAGAGCCCTTGCAGACACTCTCCAACTCAGTTTTTTGGAGTTTACAGCGGCACAAATTTTGGAAGATGATATGGCAACATAGACAAATATCTCAAAATTATTCATAGCTTTTGACTTTGAAGTCTTGTTTCTGGTGTTTATGCAAAGGAAATAATTTCAGATATATGCAACAATTAACAGAAAGAATGCTCAGCTGAGTGGGATTTGGAAACAATATTAAAAGATTGTAAAGAACTCTAATGTTCCAAAACAATGCACTGGCCAAAAAAGATTGGGTTATCATATAATGAAATGCTGCACAGCTATGTAATTTATGTATGTAGAAATGATGTATCCATTGTATATTTTTAAAATAAATTCAAGTATTCAAATAGAAAAAGGATCCTTCCAGTACCAGATCTATCTGGCTTGTATGTGTTTGTGAGATTTTAATTTTCTTCTTTTTACCTGTATCTTCTTAATTTTTCACAATGACCAACTGTTACTCTTAAAGGAAGAAAAAACTTATCAATAAAATTAATTAAGAACATAAATTTAAAAAGAAAAAGGCTGTGAATATAGGTTGTTGAATTTCTTTTTGTTCAATAATAACAATATATTAAAGAGAGTAGTAATGATTATCATGTATCAACCCAAGTTGTTTATCTTGCTTAAGGTTTAGTAGCCCATTTTAATCTCAACAATACATTTTTTTGTTGTTTTTTAGTTTTAAGTAGAGTTTATTTTTTAGAACAGTTTTAGATATGCAGAAAAGTTGAGACAATAGTACACTTCCCATCCAGCCTCTCCCATTTTCCCCTACGATTAACATTGCACATTAGCGTGGTGCATTTATTACAATTAATGAACCAGTATTGATATATTGTTTTATCAACAGTGCATGCACAGTCTATTTAGATTTCCTTAGCTGTCACCTAATGTCCTTTCTCTGTTCTGGAATCTTACCCAAGATCCCACCGCACCTTTGGTTATCATGTCTCCTTAGGTTTTTCTAGGCTGTGACAGTTTCATGCCCTGACAGTTAGAGGAAGTCTGGCCAGGTGTGTTGTAGGATGGCCCCGTGTTGGAATTTGTCTGATGTTTTTCCCATGATTAGACTGGGGCTTCAATAATACATCTAAAACAATCTTTCCTCCATCCTGCGCAGGACAATGTTACATGTCTTCTAATTCTTTGACAAATATGCAAAATGACACTAAATACTGCAGGCTTCAGGCCTCTCCATTAGTAACCTAACCCCTAGGTAAAAATAAACATTGTTTAATGGAAGTTGCATCAGTGCAGAAGCCTGATCTTTGGCCTCCTGGGTTATAGGACGCTCTTGTTAGTTCCCTTCAGCGCCTCCTCCACATTTTGAATGTTAATGGGGCTGGGAACCACGCGAGTGAGAAGTGTATGGGTGTTGTTTCCTGTTTCCATTTCAATTAGCCTCCCAGCTTTCTGATTTGACATGAATTTCAAGCGTGAACGTAGTGTACACAACAGAAGACAAATGCCTAATTCTTTTCTTCTTCTTTAGTATTGTAACTTGTAAAGGAAGGTACTACTTTTAAAATAGCAAATTAATCACATTATAAGGAAGAAAAGTTTTCATCAAGCTTGTTGAAACATACTAAGAGGTCCAAACCATATGATTATTATGATCTACTTTTTAGTAAGCACTTTATAAGTGCTTACCATTTACCAGATGAGATCAAATTCCTATTTCTGCTACACAGGTTTCTTATGGCCTTTCTTCACTGACATCTAGGACAATGCTTTGAGCTGGAAGAGAAAAAAAATGAAGTTTCTCTATTTAAAATAAACATCGATGTTTTCTTTGTTTTGTCACTACCAGGATAGGCTAAGCTCTGAGTCGTGCTTGGATCTCAGCAGCTGGCCAGTGAGGATGGATAGAAAATTAATAGAGCGACCTCCCAAAGGGCAATGTCAAAAATATATTATTATAAGGGAAGTGGGACTAGACCAGCCCTCATTCAAAAGATGGTTCTAGGTGATCCATCGGATATTTGTGCTGGACCTAGTTTACATTCTGGGGGCAGGTGCTCAGGTCCAGGCAAGGAAAAGGCGTTGTAAGAATTCCCCTGGGGAGAAGGACCAAGACCAAGCAGTAGGTGTTTGGGGAAAAATGCTAAAATCAGTAGAAGAATGTGGGAGCACATCAGAACACTCAGGCAATAATCCAGGCACTGGAGTGAAGTAGCCAATGGAGGGGTTGGTTATAAAGTGACAGAATGGCAGGTTTCCCAGGAGACATCCGTACACAGAGCAGACAAATTCCAGATTGCTTTTTCACATGCACTTTACATATTTTTCTTGGTTTGTTATTTTCATGAAATTTTGACTTATAAGCATAACAATTGTGACTTAATATTATTTTACAATCTTTAATTTTTTTTCTAGCTTATTAGTTTGGAAAGGTCTATTTTACCAACAAATCAGAATATTCACTTATAATTTGTATTTTTTTTACACTTAATTATTTTAGTCACCTGAAATTTAATTTTAATATATGGTACAAGGTAGGAATCTAGATATCCTTTCCATCCTTAGGTTAATTAACCCAACTATTCATCAGCACCAACCACTGAAGAAAGACTTTAGTTGTAAGGAAGAAAACGACCTAACTTTGCATCATGAATGCCTACACCCAACGTGGTGTCTGATCCATATTCACAACTCAATTAAACATCTGTTGAGTAGATGAATACTTCTTGAACCTGTCTCTGTCCCTGGCATCCACAGATCCCCTTTTCAAACTGTGTGGTGGCATCTTACTGACAACATAGTAACACATTTGCTTCCCTGGGGATTTCTTTGGGATATGAAGATGCATGTCAAAGGTATGTAATGATTATGATTAATCAGCAAAGAAAAAACTGGCATTCTGAATAGCAGCACACAGATGCTAGGAATCAATACCTTCCATCAAAGTTGCACAGGCTACTTCCAAGAGGAAACAGCTTCTCAAAAAGCAGTGATCCTTGATTTGCCACAATGCTGCTCTCAATGTGGCTTCCATGTGTCCCTGGCCATTGTGCCTTAGTGGCTGTCCTGCAGGAGATAGCATCTACCACTTATTTCCTGTGACAATATTTACTGACTACTGATGGTGGTTCTCTGTTCTCGGAAGAAAAAAAACATTTTTATATTTTATATTTTAAGGCAGTCTTGCATAGATAGTGTTTAAGAGTAAGATAACTGACCCATTCACCATCTGTGACTTAGTTTCCTTAAGCCTCAGTTTTCTTGTTAGCAAAACAGCGGATAATACCAGCTAACATTTATTTACCATCTACTCTGTGCCTGGCACTGTTCAAAATGCCTTAGATATATTAAAATATTTAGTACTCATGACAACCCTTTGAGGTAAGCACTATTTTTAGACCTATTTTGCAGACAAGAAAATAGAGGCATAAAGAGGGAACTGATTTGCCTAAGGCTTAATGGCCAATAACGGCAAAGCCAGGATTAAAACCCAGGCATTCTGGCTCTGAAGTCTACACTCTTAATCACAATGCTAAGGTATCTTTCAAGTATGACAAATAGTAGCCACCTCAGAGGGTGGATGCAAATATCAAGTGAGATACCATAGACAAGGTGCACCATGAACATTTGACACAGGTGAGCTCTGTTGCAGGAAATCATAGCCCCCTTGTGCTCTGATCTTTCCATAGGAAACACAAATGCTCAAAACATCACTTACAGCACAGAGATGAAAGTGATAGGAGAAGAAGAAGTAGATGAGGCAGGGGACTACATAACATAGCCCTAGTCAGATTTGGGGGATCAAGAAAGGCTTCTCGGGGAATATTATTTGTATCTGCTATTATTTTGGGGGAAAAGTCAAATTAAAGTCTTTTTATTTCCCTGCCAAAATTTCAGGGCTTAATCTCTCAACAGGCTCTATTTTGCTTCCTCTCTCTCCAATCCCTTCTCCCACTCCCTGTTCTTTTCTTTTTCAGAATTCTTAGGGTGCAAGGGGGACAGGATGTGCCCACACACACAATTATGCATACCCACTCCGCGAACATGGGCAGGGAAGCACCCCAAAAGCATCTAGTTGAATTACACCCACATGATGTAAGTCAAAGGGGAGATGATTTAAGGGGAAAGGGATGAAATGTTTTCAGAGACATTCAGACTTTTCAAGTTTTACAAGATAATGATGTTTAATTAGTTATCTCTAGTGTTAGCCTGGGTAGGTCTCATCATGATTTTCTAAAAGCAGCCCATGTGGGCATTATTCCTAAGGTACTATGGATTCTGGGTAAATATGTGTGTACGCATCTGAAATCCCATCCTTTTAACTCACTGGTAATGTTTGCAGGATGCAACATATTACACCGAGAGACCGTATGGGTCATTTAGTTCAATTTCCAGTCCATAAAGACTTTCCTTTTACCAGAAAGGCAATTTATCTGGTTTATCCATTTTCTCTTAAATAATTGCATCATGTGAAGCTCACCATGTCTCAGAGCAGCCATTTTGATTGTTGGGCAGCTGTCGTTCTAGAAGTCTCTGCCTGCAGTGACCTAAGTCAGCCTGCTTGTAATTTCCAACTATTGATCTTTATTCTGTCCTCTGTA